AAGAAATTCCATGAAATTATTATCTCTTAATTTTGAAAAGAGAATCCTTAAAGGGAAAATCTGGTTTAAAAAAATGATATTCATGAGAATACTCCTGCAAAAATAAGTTTTTCCATTTAAGAAATTAGTAAATTGCATAACAATGAGAAGTTACTCAACAGGATAAAATGATTACTGACTATATAAAAATAAGGTAATTATCACCCAACTAACACAAGTCCATAGAAAACAATTCGTGGAAGTTGGTTCTTTCCTTCTACAGATGGAACTCAAATTGCTAAGCTTGGTGGCAAGTACCTGGTCCTGACTTTTTAAAAATGCAAACCATCTTAGAGGAAACATAGAATGTGGCTACCAAGATGCAAATGTCAAACAATCAAACTGGTTTGTACCACAAACTACAAGAATAAAAAAATGAAGGGACTCGAGTATCTTAAACAGTGGAATGAAAGAGGCAGGAGAAAAGATACAGTATAAAGAAAGCAGGTGGCTGCCAACGTGGCGCAATGGCAGTGTGGCCTGGCAATCTGTAGTCAATCTCCAGCACTAGAATAAAAGTGACAATGCAGGCGCTATCTATAGTAAGTGCTAAATAAACACAATGATGTCTCAATCTCAGTATTACTTAATATAAACAGTAACAGTAAGTTAAGAAGAGAGTTAATACAGAAACTAAGAAGCTTCATACAGTCCAACTATTACTACATTCACTGTAATAACTCAAGAAAAAACAAGAATTAAACATCGTTAGACATTTCTCAAATATTTAAAGCTTGCATGATCTGGAGCCTGAAGTAGGAAGAATGTAAATTCAAAGTCAGCCTGGGCTATATACATTAAGACCATGTCTCAAATAAAACAACAATAGTAATAAAATAAAACCTACATGAAAAAATGTTAAGGGCTGTTGAGATGGTTCATTGTGCAAACCTGAAAACCTAAATTTAGTATCTGGAACCCCAGGCAGTGGTGGCGCACACCTTTAATCCCAGCATTTGGAAGCAGGGCAGGCAGATCTGTGAGTCTGAGGCCAGTCTGGGCTACAGAGTGAGTTCCAGGACAGCGAGGGAACAAAACAAAAAACAAAAACAAAAAAGAAAGAAAGAAAGACTATCTAGAGCTCACATAAATGTGGAAGGAAAGAATCAGTTTTACTGTGTGTGACCTTCACATGTGCATCATGGAACCTGTGCACCCATCTACACACCAAGCACACACAATAATAATTTTTTAAAAAATGTAAACACTTAGCTGGGTGGTGGTGGCACACGCCTTTAATCCCAACACTTAGGAGACAGAGCCAGACGGATCTCTTTGAGTTCGAGGCCAGTCTGGGCTAGAGTAAGCTCTGGGAAAGGCTCTAAAGCTACACAGAGAAACCCTGTCTCATAAAACACACAAAACAAAAGAATGTAAACACTTAAGACTCCAAATGACATCAGAATAAAGCACGTGTTCACAGATAGGAATGTCTAACATTATAAAGATGCTGCTTTCCTCTAAATTATTTTATAAATGTAATACAATCTCAATAGCAATTGTGGGGGACATTCTCCTTATCCAGACAAGCAAATCCTACAATTTACATGAAAAAACTAAGCCTATAACCCTAGCTTCTCAGCAGTCCAAGACAAGAACACCAAGTGTACCACCACGCCTGGCTTATTATGTGGGTGCTGGGGACCTGAATTAAGGTCCTCACGCTTGCATGGCTTTACTTCACTGAAATGAACCAGCATCCAGCCCCTCTGTAGTTTCTATAACAAAACCAATCTCAAGGCCTGAATGTATACAACCTTGGGCTGGGACTCACTCCTCTCCCAGACATTTTCTGGGGATCTTAAATCAGACTATTAACTTTTTTCCAGAGAGTCTACCCTAAGTTACTGCATCCCAGTGAGCAAGTTCTACTTTATCACGTGTAATCCTGTCACGTGCACCTCAATAAACACCCTGTGAGGTTCCTTAGCAATCCTTGGAAGACACTGGCTCCAAACCCCACCAGAATGGTGTATAGGACTCCTGCAGAGACAATGAAATGCGACTCTTTGAGAAACCCACACACATGCTCTGGAATGTCTTTATTCCTGGGTGCCTCTTTTCCTCTATCTTGAGGATGTGTGGCTCAGTTGGAAGACTGCTTGCCTAGCATACAGGAAGCCCTACAGGGTTCAATCCCTAGCAACACATAAGCTGGTTATGATGGTATATCCTTATAATTCCAGAGCCCGGGAGGCAGACAGGAAGAGACGGCCTCAGCTGCTACATAGCCGGTTCAAAGTCAGCCTATGCTAAATGATACCCTATCTCAAACAATTTCAAGAAACTCCCAACTCTGGGGCAAGCAAGATGGCTCAAATAAAGGTCCTTGCTACCAAGCCTAAAGTACTGAGTTAAATCTTCTCTACCCACATAGTGGAGGAGAACCAACTCCTTCCAGTTGTCCTCTGACTTCCACATGCACACTGTGGCACTTGAGAGTTCAACTAAAGGGAGGAAAGGAAGGGAAGGGAGAAATGTAATTAAAATACTATCTCAAAAATAACAGAATATAGGCCAAGCAGTAGTGGCACACACCTTTAATCTCAGCACTCGGAGGCAGAGGCAGGTGATCTCTGAGTTTGAGGAGTGAGTTTCAGGACAGCTAGGGCTACACAGAGAAACCCTGACTCAAAAAAAAAAAAAAGTCTTTTATCTCACTCCAGTTGCAGGGGATCTGGTGCCCTCTACAGGCAGTGCATGGTTGCATGGTGCATGCTTGTGGTGCACAGTTGTACTTGCAGGCAAAATACACACAAAAAATAAACAAGAATAAAATCTTAAAAAAAAAAAATGTTAGTGACATTTCAAAAGATAGGAGCTGGGCAGTGGTGGCGCACGCCTTTCATCCCAGCACTGGAGAGGCAGAGGCAGGCGGATATGACTTTGGAGGCCAGCCTGGGCTACAGGGCTATAGAGAAACCCTGTCTTGAAAAAGCAAAGCAAAGCTAAGGCTGGAGAGGTGGCTCAGGCGTTAAGAGCACTGGCTGTTTTTCCAGAGGTCATGAGTTCAATTCCCAGCACCCACATTGTGGCTCACAACCATCTGTAATGAGATCTGGAGCCCTCTTCTGATGTTCAGGTACATGCAGGCAAGCAGAACACTGTGTATAGATAATAAAGTTTTAAAAGAAAAAGCAGCCGGGCCGTGGGGACGCACGCCTTTAATCCCAGCACTCGGGAGGCAGAGGCAGGCGGATCTCAAAGCTATACAGAGAAAACCCTGTCTTGAGAAACCAAGAAAAAAAGAAAGAAAGAAAGAAAAAGCAAAGCCCCCCCTCCAAAACAAACAAACAAACCAAAAAACTCCCAAAGAAAAGCAGCTAGAATGTGAAGGTTTCACATTTTTTGGTGGTGGTGTGGACTGACTCAGGACCTCTGCATGCTAGTTATGGGTTCTACCACTGGTAAATTTAAAGACTTGCAATGGTACTCAATTGCTTTGCTTTTACTACAATTGCTTTGCTTTTACTATTAAAAAAAAAAAAATAAAGAAAAGAAAAGAAAAATCGTCAATGCCGGTCCTGTCTACAGTGACCGCAATAGCAGGCAGTAGTTTTTCCACAGGCCACGTAATTTACAGACCTAGACTCATGAAGGAGTCATGACTTCTATGATCCAGAACAGCAACAACTACGTTTTCTTCAAAAAATGAGGAACCTGGGCCTGTGAGATGGTTCAGCGGGTAAAGGCGTTCGCTTCCAAGACTGCCAACTTGAATTCGACCCAAAAACCCACACCGCGGGAAGACAGAACCGACTCCAAAATTGATCTCACCCCTCCACACATGCGTTCAGGCAAGCATGGCCAGACAAATACAGGTAAATAAAATATTTTAAAATGAGGAACTATGCCTGACCTAAACCTTGACTCTCTAATCCTGGGTTTTCAGTGGAATGACGCTCCTCAAAAGGAAATGCGAATTGCCTGGCAGCTCTATTAACGTACCTGAAAAATCAGAAACGGAGTCTGCTGCAGGCAACCCCGAAAGAAAAAAATTCCAAACGAAATTTTGTATAATTAAGCATGCCAGGGTAATCTATATCCTACCTCCATTCATAAGCAACTGCGCTTTAGTATAAAAATCGTTTTTTAAGATCTAAACATTTTTATTAATGTTTACTAAACATTACAAAACTCAACTGCCTGGCTATAAACTCACTATTAATAAACACTGTTTTATTAAAAGTGGTCACTCCTTAGCTTCGTCCTCCTCTCAAGTCCTCAAATAAAACGGATGCTCTTGGGGAAGATGGCCCCGTTACGATGATCAGCACTTTCGACTCGGGACCTACGGCGCAGACGTGAAGCCTCAACACCCGTCTCCACTGTCTCATCAGGCACAGCCGCCCTTAACCCCACGCCCAGCTTCACCTTCCCTCAACAATCCCCACAGCGGGGCAAACTTCGCGGCCAGAGTCGGCCTCGGACGTTCGCACGCTCCTCGGAGGCCCCGTCCCCGTCCCCCACGCAGGCCGGCGCTCTAAGCCCACCCTCGACCCCCGCGCCGCGCCACCAAAGCTCGGAAGCCTCCCCGCAGCCTCCCGGCCCCACCGACCCAGGACGCCCAGATCCCACCTCCTACTTTGGCGCCACGTGGACCCAGAGGCCGTGCTGACCCGCGGACAAAGACCAAAATGTCCACTCGCTGGCCTGCGTCTGCGCACTGCGAGAGCGGGCTCGCACTCCCAGAAGCCTCCGCGGCGCTCGGGGCTTGCTCGCCACTGGACCCGCTGTCGTCTATCATCTGCGGCGCCGCTGTTCCGGCCTCGGACTACACTTCCCACAAGGCACTGCGGGTCGCGGGTCGGTCTCCCGCGCGCAAGCTTGGTCGCCTCTTCTTGGGTTCTGGGGTTTCTTTGGGTAGATGGTCGTCACTTGGACCCAAACAAGCTCACACCTGGTGGGATGTTTGGAGTGGGGGCTTCTTTGATACCTCGCAGGCGCCGCTCAGAAATAGACTGAGCCTTGCCTCCAAGAGGACGACATCTTGTCCATGGCTGGGGTGGCTCTGAACTACGCTTCCCAGAGTCCATAGCGAGCTGACGTTGCATCTCAACTTGGTGAACTCTTCAGCGCTGGCGTCCTACGGAGACCGAAGGTGAGGGGTCTGGGAGTCCTGGGCGGGGACCGGGCGTGTCCCGAGTCTTGGGACTGTGCACGTGGGAGCAGTCCCGGGCTGCAGGATTCTAAGTGGGTTTTGATGGTGGCAGTGTGACCGGTTGTGAGTGCTTATAAGTGTGCTGTTGTAATCACCTGTCTCCAAGGTGTACACCTGATTGTTGCTGTACAAACATAGGTGATACTGTGTGTTGTGATGCCGGTATCTTGTGATTGTGGAAGTGGTGTCTCGTGTTCCTGTAGTGTGTTATGTGCCCGTTGCCTTTATTCCTGGGGGGAGTGTGAATAAAGTTGTATCTGTGACCGGTGTTTGTGTGGGTTAAGTTACCTTGTGTAGTACTGTGTGCAGGGTTCTGTGTCCGTGGCTCTGCATCAGCACTGCGTGGGTATCCTTACTGTGTCCCTTGGGGAGAAGGGAGGGGGAAGGACCTTGTGTGATGCTGTGTATGCGGACTGTCTTTGCTGATGACTGTCTCCAGAGTGAATGTTCAGTTATGGCTGGATGTAGCGTACTGTGCTTTCTGTGTGCCACCATGTGTGGTGCCTTTAGGATGTTAGTAATGGACAAGGGAAGTGACTGTGGAGCGGATGGAGGTATCTAACTCTGACTGTAACCTTGTGTGTCTCAGGGGATGAACGAAGCTGAGCGTTGTAGTATATACTCCTGTAATCCCAGCATTTCGGCTCCTGAGGCCAGAGGATCTCAAAATCATGGCTAGCCTGAGGTGTACTGCAAAACAAACCCTGTCTCAGGAAAAAAAAAAAAAATGCGGAAGGGTGCTGGAGAGATGCCTAAGTGGGTAAAGTTCTTGGGGCACAAACATGAGAATGTGAGTTTGGATCCCCAAACCCACATCAACTCAGTTGCTGTAACGTGTTTCTAATTGTGTAATCCCAGTTCCTGCAGGATTCTAGGACAGGAAAGTCTCAAAAGCTCTCAGATAAACTAGCCTGGAGGGCATAGCAGTGTAAAGCACAAGATAGAAGGCTTGCACCAACATCTGAGGCTCTGCTCTGCCCTCCACATAGCTGCCAGGGCACACACATACCTGTACAAGTGCACACACACAAAGATAAAGAAAATGTTTTTTCTAAAAAAAGAGTTGATGTGCTGTTTGTTGTGTTTGTGTGACATCTCTGGCAGGAGCCAAGTGTGTCAGTGTGACGTGTCCATGACTACTGCTCTGGCCCCAGCAGGTCCTGTGACATCTGGGCACATTCTGGCCCTGGACAGTAGTGGCCTCAGTTTCCCGAGGTAACACTGACCTTGGACTGAGTGCCCCATCTTCTGTGACCTCCATCCCCTGCAGAGCCCAAAACTGCCCTGGCCACTCCTGATTCCTTTCTTCTAACCCTCTTCTAAGAAGGTGATGAGGAGCCGAGACAAAGCTCAGTGGTTAGTTATCGAACATCCAAAAGCCAAGTTCAAAATGCACTGGGTTCTGTTCTTTCCCCAAAACCCTTGCTTCTCTGGGCATGCTTTCCTGACAGAATCACCTCACCACCCTCAATGATCTGACATCCAGTGTTAATCCCGAGAGTACAAGCTGAGCGGCCTGAGGATAAGTGGAAGGCTCATATCCTCTCTGCTCCCTGCATCCCTAATGTGGGTTACATTTTTTTCCCTAAGGTTTTGAAATTGTTTTAGACTTGAAAATGTTACAAAGATAGAATTCCATATATTCTTTTTTTAACTTTTAGATTTTATATGTACAGGTGTTTGCCTACATGTGTGTGTAGGTGCACCAAGTGCTTGCCTGCTGCCAAGGTCCCCTTTTCTGAGGTGACTCCAGTTTGGGTCAAGTTGACATGCTGTGTACACCACATAGTAGTGCAGGTGCCAAGGAGGCCAGGAAAGCACACCAGAGTAGCCAGCTGCCTGACGGGGCACTAGGAACTAGGCCCAGGTCCTCCACAAGAACAGCAAATGCTCTTCACATGACAGTGTTTTTATTTATTTTTTTTTAATTACATTCATGATATTCATTAATTACACTCATGATGTTAATTACATTTGTGGTATTCACTGATTACATTCGCAGTATTCATTCAATAACTATATTTATGATATTCATTAATTACATTAATTGACATGACAGTGTTTAAAACCAGAAGGTTGACATTGCTTCTCTAGTACCAACTACTTCCAAACCTTATTCACCATCGTCCTGATTTCTCTTGTTAAAATGAATTTGGGGGGGTACGTGTGTATGTGTCCCATTTCAACTGCCCTTTCACCAATAGCCTCTCCTGGGCCCTCTTCATGGTTCCACGTCTCAACTCTCTACATGACCTTCAATCCTGGGGCTCCAACTGCCACTGAAGCTGCCCCTTCACCAATGGCCTCTCCTGGCTCTCACAGTGCCAAGCCTCAGCTGCTCTCCATGACCCCTTCATGCCTTCAAAACCAGAACCACTGGGAGACTCTTACACATGACCACGTTTGGCTGCCAGCATGTGGTTCAACCTTGACCACCTCTAGAACACAGCTTCTGTGTGCTCACCCTGAGGAAACACTTCCCAGAAGGTTTCTCCTCAGTGGTTCTGGTCTCTTGTTAATCACGGCTGATTCTTCGGCCCCAGCTGACCAGACACTACAGATTCTTAGTTCAAAATAGTGTCTTGAAATTTCCCAAGCCAGGCTCCCATAGCCTGCATTTCTCTCAGCATTCTTACCTTCTAAGCTCCCAAAGAACGGCCCATTGAACTCTGAACACTCAACAGCTTTGCCAGCCCAAAGGCCTACAATCCTCCAAAAACCAGCATAGTTAGTTCTGGTACAACAATACTCCACAATCCTGTTTCCAGTTTTCTGCCTTAGAGTTTTTACTGCTGTGATGAAACACCATGACCAAAAGCAACTTGGGATGGAAAGGATTTGTTTGGTTTACACTTCCCTGTCACCGTTCTTCATCAGAGGAAGTCAGGACAGGAACTCAAACAGGACAGGAACCTGGAGGCAGGAGCCGATGCAGAGGCCACGGAGGGGTGCTGCTTACTGGCTTGCTGTCATGGCTTGCTCAGCCTGTTTACTTATAGAACCCAGGACCACCAGCCCAGGTATGGCACCACCCACAGTGGGCTGAGCCCTCCCACATCAATCACTAATTAAGAAAATGCCTTATAGCTGGATCTTATGGAGGCATTTTCTTAACTGAAGTTCTTTCCTCTCAGATGACTCTAGCCTATGTCAAGTTGACTTAAAAACTAGCCAACACTCAGTCTGGGAGGAGGGGACTGGACCTGCCTGGACTGAGTCTACCAGGTTGATCACAGTCCTCGGGGGAGGCTTTGCCCTGAAGGAGGTGGGAATGGGGGGTGGGATGGGAGTAAGGGAAGGGGGTGGGAGAGGGGAGAACAGGGGAACCCGTGGCTGATATGTAGAACTGAATTGTATTGTAAAATAAAATAAAAGGGGAAAAAAAAAAAAACTAGCCAACACAAGGCCAAAGGTCAACCTTCCTGACCCTGGAGGCCTGGAAGTCGGGCTTGGGACAGTGATGGAATGGAGAAAGGACAGAGACACATACAATGCAGCTGGGATCAAGTGAGGTCCTCTGACCTCTGTAGCTGGGAATGCTAGGTGTTCATAAGTACGGGGTGGGGAGGGTGCTAGCCATCTGTAACGCAGCCCCAGCGTCACCGCTGTTACTCAAGATCATTCCTTGTTCCAGGGGTTTCTCTCTGATCATTCTCACCGGTGTCAAATCATTTTCTCCACGACCAGGTCTGGGCCGTTGCCACCCTTATCTCTGGTTCATTTTTTTTCTACTTTCCACGGGTGTGTGTGTGTGTGTGTGTGTGTGTGTGTGTGTGTGTGTGTGTATTCTGGCTCTTACCCAGGCCTCAGCCTGCCGAGTTCTGGTGCTAAGCTTGTTCATCAGGCCTCTATCCTTCTCTCCATTTTCCTTTTCTAGGATTCTTCATTTATCCAAAAAGAGAAATCAGAGTAGGTTCTGAATGATTCACCATGGCCCTTCAGGTAGGTTGAAATTTCCTCTCAAATATTTTTGTTTTACATGTTTTAAATGTATTTATTGGAGATAGGGTCTCACTGTATAGTCCTGGCTAGCCTAGAACTCACTATTAGACCAGGCTGGTCTCAAACTCACAGAGATGTGCCTGCCTCTGCCTCCCAAATGCTGAGATTAAAGGCTTTGTTTACATTTAGTTATTTTGTTTACATTTAGTAGTTACTTTGTTGGTGGCATGTGGTATCCCAGCTCCTGTGTGAATGTGGTCCTCCGAGGACAGCTCAAAGGAGTCAGTTCTCCTTCCGCCCGCCGTGTGGGTGGAGATGGAGCTCGGATCATCAGGGTTGGCGGCAGGTGCTCCGACGTGCCGAGCCGTCTCACCAGCCTGTAATTTCCTCCAGCCCTTCAGAGCATAGGAACATCTGTGTTCTTTATGCCACCATGCCTGTGTGACCTGCTCTCAGGGAGCAAATGATGGGGCCCCTCCCTCTCCATCTCCTCTCTTCCTGGCACTGTTTACAGTGCTCCTCCGGGGTGCCGGAGGGATGGAAATGCATTCTCTTGAGGAAGATGGTAGCTTACTTTCTCAGGGCCATCAATGGGACTGAAGATGAGGTGACCCTTTCCTGTGACTTCAGCGGCTTCTTTTCCTTTGCTGTTTCATGTCACTCCCTCTTAAGAAACCTATTTCATGGGGCTGGAGAGATGGCTCCATGCTGAAGAGCACTGGCTGCTCTTCCAGAGGATCTGGATTCATTTCCCATCACCCTCATGGTGGCTCACAACCATCTATCTGCAGTTCCAGTGGTCAGAAGCCCTGTTCTGACTTCCACAGGCACCAGGCACACAGATGATACACAGACATACATGCAGACAAAACACCCATACACATAAACTAAAAACCATATTTCATACTATCAGAAACTATATACAAAAACTTACGTCTGTGTAACTGGAGGCAGTGGTGGTGGCGCACGCCTTTAATCCCAGCACTCGGGAGGCAGAGGCAGGTGGATCTCCGTGAGTTCAAGGCCAGCCTGGTCTACAGAGTGAGTTCCAGGACAGTCAGGGCTACACAGAGTAAACTCTGTCTCAAAGTTTAAAAAAAGAAAAGAGAAAAAAATCTTTAATTCACTCAGAGTCTGTTGTTTCAGGAAGTGGTGACATTCAGGGATGTGGCCGTGGAGTTCTCTGAGGAGGAGTGGAAGTGGATGGAACCTGCTCAGAGGGACTTGTACAGAGATGTGACTTTGGAGAACTTCAGTCACTTGCTCTCACTAGGTGAGGCCTCGACAGTACCCAGGGCCACCTAGGAAATGGGACCCCGGGACTGGGGCAGAGGGAGTTTGCTGTGTGCACCTCTGGCCTGAGGGGTGAACAGGGGACAAAGGGATGCAGCCAGCAGCTGTGAGAACTCTCCACGTGTCTCCCAGGTCAGAGGGGAGGGAGAAGGCTAGGAAATGCCCCCATGTTCACCGCCCTTGGCCTGTGACCTGCCAATCACAATGGACGTCACTGACTATTAGAGGGGAGGGAGAAGGCTAGGAAATGCCCCCATGTTCACTGCCCTTGGCCTGTGACCTGCCAATCACAATGGACGTCACTGACTATTAGAGGGGAGGGAGAAGGTTAGGGCATCTAATCACAGTTTAAAACTAGTGGTCTGGAACGTCTAGGGATTTTGTTTGCTTTTTGGAGTCTAGAAATTGCACCTAGTGCTTCGTATTCAAGGCATTCTGCCACTGAGCTACAGGCTCAGCCCATCTCTCTTTGATTTTCTCGGGCTACTTTCAAATGTCTCGCTGAATGGCTGTCCTCCATTTTTTCCCACGAGAATTGTTTTGGAGCTGGGCGGTGGTGGCGCACGCCTTTAATCCCAGCACTCGGGAGGCAGAGACAGGCGGATCTCTGTGAGTTCGAGGCCAGCCTGGGCTACCAAGTGAGTCCCAGGAAAGGCGCAAAGCTACACAGAGAAACCCTGTCTCGAAAAACCCAAAAAGAAAAAAAAAAAAAAAAAAAAAAGAGAATTGTTTTGGGCTTTGGCCATTCCACCTCCATCTCCTTGTCCTTTGGACAGTCTTCTCATCCTTATTTTATAATTGCCTCCGTTCATCTGGGTCCACACCTGTAATCCCAGCACTTGGAGACAGAGGGAGGAAGGTCAGGAATTCTACGTTGTCCTCTGTGGTAAAGCCAGGAGAAAAGACCAAATCCATGACTGTCCAGGTAAAGCAAACTGTATTTTGGGGTGCAGTCGGGACTGGCCAGCCAGCTGTCTCACCCTAAGTTTGGATCTGAGAGAAAAGCCACGTCCCTTTTCTAGGAGAGATAAAGTGTTCATAGGAGCGAGAAAGTCTAAATTGTTAGAAAGATATAATGAAAGGGAAGGAACAGGGGAAGGATATACATCATGGGAACGGGTTGCAAGCAGTTTACAGCAGAGCTAAGAAACAGGAATGCATTCCTTCTTTTTTTTTCTTTTTTGGTTTTGGTTTTTCAAAACAGGGTTTCTCTGTGTAGCTCTGGCTGTCTTGGAACTCACTCTGTAACCCAGGCTGGCCTCGAAACTCAGAGATCCACCTCCCTCTGCCTCCCCAGTGCTCTGTGATCAAAGACATGCTCCACCACGCCTGGCCTACAAAGTGAAATTTAATGTTTGTTGTTGTTGATTTCGTGTGCATTGGTGTTTGGTGTTTTGTTTGCATGTATGTCCATCATGTATGTCAGATCCCCTGGAACTGGAGTTACAGACAGTTGTGCGCTGTCATGTGGGTGCTGGGAATTTAACCTGGGTCATCTGGAAGAGCAGCCAGTGCTCTTAACTACTGAGCCATCTCTCCAGCCCCAGAGTTTGAAATGTAAACAGTATGCTCATGCCTCATTTCTTTTCCTGTAAACAGGACTTGTCCTTTCTAAGCCTGATGTCATCTTCTTATTGGAGCAAGGGAAAGAGCCATGGCTGGTTACAAATTATATGACAAGACCTTGGCACCCAGGTGAGTAAGACCTGGTCTGGCTGGAGAGGTCATGGGACTAACGGTACAGTGTGCCAGCTGATAGCTGTAACTTGAGTGATTGTAGGGAAACCTGATGTAGAATGAAGGCCTGAGTTAGGAAGCAGAGCAGGAAGGACCCTGTCAGCACTGGCGTGCACATAAACATTTAAAAACATTCTGTATTAGATAGTATTTTCTCCCACTGCCTTCTGTCTTCTATGGTTGATAAATCAGGTAGTTATACTTTGGGAAAATATTTCATGTATATGTATTGTCTTATTTTTATTTTATGTGTATGGGTGTTTTGCTTACACGTATGTCTGTACCATGTGCATGCCTGGTTCCCTAAGGAGGCCAACAGAGGGCATCTGGTCCCTCTGGAATTGGAGTTACAGAACCGCCATGTGGGTGCCAGGAATTGAACCCAGGTCCTTTGGAAGAGCAGCCAGTGCTCTTAATCAGTGCCACCTCCAACTCCTCTTCCTCTTTCTTTTTTCTTTTTCTTTCTTTCTTTCTTTTTTTTTTTTCAAGACAGGGTTTCTCTGTGTAACAGCCATGGCTATCCTGGATCTTACTCTGTAGCCCAGGCTGGCCTCGAACTCACAGAGATCCACCTGCCTCTGCCTCCTGAGTGCTGGGACTAAAGGCGTGTGCCACCACAGCCCAGCTCTCTGTCTCTCTGTGTTTCTGTCTCTGTCTCTATCTCTCTGTCTGTCTCTGTCTCTCTGTCTCAGAATAAACACCTTTATTCCGTGAGCTGCAGATTCTGACCTGTCTGCCTCCACCCTTGCCCTCTAGCAGGCCTTCCTGCCCGCCTCTCTCGCCTGTTGATGTCGGCAGGAGACTTGCCCTGCTGCTCCTTCATGAAGCTGCTGCTTTGGGGGCTCTTTTTTCCTTTCTTCACATTTCTTTTGGATTTTCTTTGATCATTTTTTGTTTAAAATCCCTTCCTTTATAGACTAGGCTGGCCTCGAACTCAGAGCTCTGCCTGCCTCTGCCTCCTGGGTGCTGGGATTAAAGGCATGTGCCAATATTGCCAGGTAGCCAGGGCTACACAGAGAAACCCTGACTTGAAAAACCAAAAGGCTGTAAAATGCCTTCCTCCTCAGGCGTCAGCTTGGCCTGCGGTGCGGGTGTCGTGGGACTCTCACCGGGACTCTCGCCATCCCAGTGCTCTCCACGAGCACCATGCAGCTCTCCCCCGGGGCCCTGCTGCAGACGGCCTTGTCACTGGATGTGTTGTGGACAGCATCAGTGGTCCCTGTTTTGTGAATACAGCAATCAAAGCCCAGGAAACGTTCTCCACACCCAGTCTCAGGGCACGGTAGTTTTCATGGCCTCCTAAACTCAGACAGGGTTTATACCGGGGTCCCATCTTAGTGTTGGCAGCAGGCCACCCCAGCTCTTACCTCTTCTTCTCGTGGGGGAGTTTTCACTTGCCCCAGGTCTGGTGCCAATTGTTCCAAAAGATGCCTATCCATCACAAGCTACAAAGATCTTTAAATAAATAAATAAATAAATAAATAATAATAAAAGGGGCTGGAGAGATGGCTCAGCAGTTAAGAGCACTGACTGTACTTCAGAGGATCCAGGTTCAATTCCCAGCACCCACATGGCAGCTCACAACTGTCTGTAACTCCAGTTCCAGGGGATCTGATGCCTATAGCAAAACACCAATGTGCATGAAATTAAAAAGACAAACAAGTTTAAGTAAAATAAGATAAATAAGTTACTTTTGTTTATTGTGTGTGTTTATCTATATGTGGAAGGCAGAGGACAACTTGCAGATTCCACTCATTGCCTTCCACCTTGTGGGTCCTGGGGTCAAGGTCAGGCGGCAGCTTGGTGGCCAGTCCATGTACTTGCTGAGCCCTGTGCCCCGCCCTGTTCTTTCCTCTTTGACTTAGTCTGGGATCTTTCACCCTGGGTGAGGGCTTCATCCTCTCGTGAGTTCAGTTTCTGTGTCTGTTCTCCCTCCATCCTCATTTCCAGCTGTTCCTGCTTTGCTAGTATACATGCGCACACACCAGGAGGGCATTTGGACATTTGCACTGCTAACGCATTTTCTGGGTTACTCTGATCAGTTTCAAGACTGGGAACCTCAGGCTTAATGTCTTTTCTTGCCCCAATCTGGCATCAAGTATACTTCTGCCATATTTGTGCATTCTTAAAAATCGTTCAGTATGGGGGCTGGAGAGATGGCTCAGAGGTTAAGAGCACTGACTGCTCTTCCAGAGGTCCTGAGTTCAATTCCCAGCAACCACATGGTGGCTCACAACCATCTGTAATGAGATCTGGCACCCTCTTCTACGTATACATGCTGTATATGTAATAAATAAATAAATCTTTAAAAAAAAATCTTTAAAAAAAATCGCTCAGTATTTGAGATGTATTAAGCCATTAGTTTTTTTATGATGAAAATTTTCATTTTATTTCCATATTTTCTGTGGTGTTTTTATTCCTCATAGTAAAAATAATTTGTTTTTGTTTTTCTCTGATTTTTCAGACTTGGAGTCAAAGTATGAGATAGTTCCACAGACAGGACTTTTTGAAATAGAGTCGTTTAAATGGGAGGTGATGAAAAGCTTTCAGCACCGTGACCTTAAGGACTCCCATCTCACAGATGACTGGGAATGCAGAGACCAGTTTGAGAGACAGCGAGCGAGACAGGAGTGCCATTTCAAGCAAGTGGAAGTCACCTATGAAAGCATGCCTGCTTTCAAGCATTACACATCTGTCACCCTACTACACCAGAGCAACAGGACTGTTGAGAAACGGATTGAATGTAGTGAATGTGGGAAAGCATTTAGCCGTGGCTCACACCTTGTGCAACACCGGAAAACTCATACTGGAGAAAAGCCCTTTGAGTGTAAGGAGTGTGGGAAAGCTTTTGGTCGTGCCTCCCACCTTGTTCAGCATCAGCGAATCCATACCGGTGAGAAACCCTATGATTGTCCGGAGTGTGGGAAAGCCTTTGGTCGTACTTCCGACCTTATTCTCCATCAGAGACTTCACACTGGTGTCAAACCCTATGAATGCAAAGAATGTGCAAGGACCTTTAGGCAGCAGTCACAGCTTATTCTGCACCAGAGAACTCATACAGGTGAAAAACCCTACGTGTGTAAAGACTGTGGGAAGGCTTTCATTCGTGGTTCCCAGCTTACTGTGCACTGGAGAATTCACACAGGAGTTAGACCCTATCAGTGTAAGGAATGTGGAAAGGCCTTCAGACAGCACTCACAGCTCACTGTACACCAAAGAATCCACACGGGGGAGAAGCCCTACGAATGTAAGGACTGTGGGAAGGGTTTTATCCATAGCTCAGAAGTTACTCGGCATCAAAGAATCCATTCTGGGGAAAAACCTTATGAATGTACGGAATGTGGGAAAGCGTTCAGACAGCATGCACAGCTCAGGCGACATCAGACCGTTCATACTGGTGACAGACCCTTTGGATGTAAGGCCTGTGGAAAGGCCTTTAGTCGTAGTTCATACCTCATTCAACATCAGAGGATTCACACGGGTGACAAGCCTTATGAATGTAAGGAGTGTGGGAAAGCCTTCATTCGTGTTTCCCAGCTGACTCATCATCAGAGGATTCATTCATATGAGAAACCCTACATATGCAGGGAGTGTGGAATGGCTTTTATTCGAAGTTCACAACTTACTGAACATCAGAGGATTCATCCTGGTATCAAACCTTATGAATGTAGAGAATGTGGGCAGGCCTTTATCCATGGCTCACAGCTTATTGACCACTACCGAATTCATACTGACTAGAGCATTGTGGGATATTTGTACCTGTGGGAAGATGTATTGCTGTGATTTTTGTAATAAAAAGCTGAATGGCCAATAGCTAGACAGGAGGTATAGGCAGGATTTCCGGGGAGAAAAGGAAGAGGAGAAGGAATCAAGGCATGCAGGAGACACAGAGAGGAAACAGGAGGTACAAGATGGAAGAGAGGTAATGCCATATGATAGAATGTAGATTAATATAAATGGCTTAATTTAAGTTATAAGAGCTAGTTAGGAACAAGCCTAAGCTATAGGCCGATCTTTCATAATTAATAAGATGTCTCTGTATCATTATTTGAGAGCTCGCTGGTGGGACAAAAAAAAGGCTCGTTACATGAGAATCCTAAACATCAGTGGCATGGTCAAGCCTTTATGCTAAGTTTAAATCTAGCCAGAGCTATATCGCCCCCCAATGTAACTCATGTCAGAAAAACTTCGTTCATCTCTTCTGCTATAGGGTATCAGAAAACTGAATGCCAGTAGAAAGATCCAATGAATATGGGAATTCATTTTGCCTCATTCACTGATTATTAAGCATCAGCAAACCTGTGCTAAAAATAACTTCATATTAATATAGAAAAGCCTTTTATTACCTATCAAAATATGTTCGATTTCTTTTTGTTTTTTGTTTTTTTCGAGACAGGGTTTCTCTGTGTAGCTTTGCGCCTTTCCTGGATCTCACTCTGTAGCCCAGGTTGGCCTCAAACTCACAGCGATCCACCTGCCTCTGCTTCTCTGGTGCTGGGATTAAAAGTGTGTGCTACCACCACCACTCAGCTATGTTCAATTTCTGAGAATCCCAAATAGATAGTGATCCTGATTAAAAGATTATTGGTTTGATGTGCTGAATAATGAATGTGCCTTTTGGTCGGTGTGGCATAGACAGTTCTTACTGCGCTGATTACTGAACGTCATTGAACATATTATGCAGTTTTTACCCTCTTTGTCCCTTACATCTTTTTACTTCTTTGTTGTTTTTTATTTTGTTTTTGAGACAGAGAAACATTTAACCTTGGCTGGCCTCAAAATTATGTAGCTGAAGATGACTTTGAATTCTTGATCCTTCTATCTGCACCTCCCAAATTCTGGAATTACAGGCTTGCACTACCATGCCAGCTAACTTCTTGGGTGTGTTTTTGTTTTTTTAAGGAACTGTCACTTACCTTGTAGAAGACCTCCATGTTGTAATTTAACATGCATCTCTACCTCTGGCATTTCCTACAATTGGTAGTTAAGATTTTAGAGACTTAGCCTAGGTGGCAGCACACACCTTTAATCCCACCGCTCTGGAGGCAGAGACCAGCCAAAGCTATAAAGTGAGACCCTGTCTCCAAAAGGGAGAGGGCACTGGAGCAATGGTCAGCCATTAGGAGCACTTGCTCTTGCAGAAGACCTGAGTTTGGTTCCCAGCATTGTGGCTCACAATCATCTGTAACTCCAGTTACAGGGGACCCAGCACCCACTTCTGGCCTCTGCAGACACCAGCATGTACTTGGTGCACATAAATTTATGTAGACTTTTTATTTTAGTTTTTTTTTCAACTTAAAATTTTTTAATTTTTTAAAAATTTGAACTTAAAATCCCAAATGAACTTGGAAGATATTTTATGCTTACTTTGGGCATTGGGAAATGCAGTGAGACATGTTCTCATGTAGCCCAGGCTGGCCTCAAATTTGTTCTATAGCCAAGGATAAAGTTGAACGCCTAGTTCTCCTGACTTCACCTCCCAAGTGCTGAGATTGCAGATGTTTTCCACAATTTTAAACTTATATTTACTTATAAAATCTGAAACTTAGGGACTCCAAAAGAGAAGAGATGTATCAGAGGGTAAGGGGTGCACAGGCTACAGCTTCTGCCCCACCACCCACCCCCTTTTTGAGACAGGGTTTCTCTGTGTAGCCCTGCCTGCCCGGGAACTCACTCTGTAGACCAGGCTGGCCTCAAACTCACAGAGATCCGCCTGCCTCTGCCTCCTGGGTGCTGGGATTAAAGGTGTAGGCCACAACTTCCTGACTGTGCCATCTTCATAATGCTTTAACATGGTCACAATCCTGGAGCCCGCCAAAGGGCTATTTAACTACATAGTAAAGTGTTTAATCATCAACCATAAGTGATTCCATCATTCCCTTCCCTAGAATCCCAAGGATATTGGGAGGGCCAGATAGCCAACCTTTTCTTCATGCCCTGGTCTTTCTGGTGACCAGCCACCAATCCTCAACCTATTTGGGGGCCTCTACCATCTCATTAGCAAATAAATAACACTGTAAATCACTCTGATGATTCCATGAATTTTAGGAACTGGAGGCAGGACCAAAAATATATTTTCTGTTATACACGTGGTACCTTCATTCAAGCAGAAATATTCATGGGTTTTGTTTGAGGCAGGGTCTTACTATACAGCCTCAGCTATCCTGGAACTCAAGATCCTCTAGCCTCAGCCTCCCAAAAGGTTTACAGGTGTGCGCTTGTGACATAGTTTAAAGCACTGTGGGGTGCATTTACTTTCTAACGTTGATTTTAAAACGGCAATTGTAAGCCTAGTTTGCTGGTAGATGCCACTAACCTCAGTGATCAGCCCGCTTAAACATGGGGATCACAAGTTCCAGACAGGCCAGAACTATGTGGCCAGGCCCTTCTGGGGAAACAAAGGGAGTGTGCGTGGGGTAGAGCTAAAAAGTAAATCCTAAATTATCAGAGGGATCAGGTTGGAGCGCAGTTAAATGTTTCAGCCACTAGATGGCAGAAGAGTGCTACCAAACAGGTTTCGCCTTGCCTTTCACCACAAGCAGCAATTTTGCTTGCTTGCTTCCTTGCCTGTTCTTTATGTTTTGAGACAGATCTCCCTATGTAGCTCTGGCTGTCCTAGAACTCACCCTGTAGATCAGGCTGTCCTCAAACAGATCAGCCTGCCTCTGCCTCCCAAGTGCTGGGAGGCAGGCGTCCACGCCCAACTTGTTTTTTGATTTTTAGTTTTATGTATATGGGTTTTTTTCCTGCACACCTATTGTGATGAGTTGAGGGAGGCCATGGAGAAAGGAAAAGCCTCACATTTTAGTACATTTTGCAGGATCAAAGGGTGGAGATGCAGTTCTACATAGCCCAGGGTTGCCTCCAATGTGAAATCCTCCTGTCTCAGCCTGAGTCTTAGGATTAGAAGCAAGGCGTGAGCCACAGGTTGCTATAATGCTCCTTTTCCCTGCAGCACTAAAGGTTGAAGCCAGGGCTTTGCACAAGCTAGGCAAGAGATCGCCCCCTGAGCCAAAACCCAAGCTCCTAACTGGTGGATTCTAGACAGACAACGCCTTTTCATCTTCCTGTTCTAGGGATGCATGGATGGATGGATATTTGTGTGTGGGGGGGGATGTATGTGTGCATTCGATATGCATATGGTGCTGTGTATGTTGTGTATGTGTGTTTGCACACAGGTGAAACTGAATTAAATGCCAAAATATTTGACTGCAGCTCACAGGTGTTTCATTGTGAGCTCAGGCAGAGAGCTTGCTCAGCATGAGCCAGGTGCTGGGTTTGATCCTGGCTTTCGTTTGATTTTCTCAAATCACATTACTAGTTTCTTCTTTCTCCTTTTCCTCCTATGCTTTCCTTTTCAGTGTCTCAGGTAGCTAAAGCTAGCCTGGAACTTTCTGTAGCCAAGGCTACCCTGGAACAACTGCTCCTCCTACCTCCACTCACCAAGTGGGTTTCTTTTTACTGTATTTTATTGATTTTACCATTTGTATATGATGGGAGGCCCACGTCTGCCACAGGACAGCCTTGTAGAGCTGAGCGGCAAGCGTGCTTACCTGCAGAGCTGGCTCACTAGCCTGTCTTTTTAACTGTGCTAGCGAAGTTATGCTCTGAGCCTACTTCATTGCCTGAAGAAACCTGATCATAGACAAAAGGGCCGGAAATCAAAAGCAAAATGACCTGTTCTCTAGCAGTTAGACCTGGTGACCTATGACACTGCATCTACAATTAAGGCCAACTCCTAATGGCCCCTGGTGGCTCACCCGAATGGCCAGTCTTAGAGAATGACAAAAGAGTGGACTGCCCTCTCCAGCTCTCTTCAGGCTGGACCCACACAAAAGGCCTAGAAGCTTCCAAAGAACCTCGTTTTTCTCTCAAGGAGTACACACACTCTCTCTCTCTCCCTCCCTTCCTTCCAAGGTCTCCTCTGCCCCTCAGTTTGCTCTTGTGTTTCTGTACAGTCTATTTCTCCTTTTATGTTTGTTTGTTTTTTTTAAGACAAGATTTCTCTGTGTAGCCGTGGTGGTTCTGGAACTTGCTCTGTAGAGCAGGCTGGCCTTGAACTCAGAGATTCACCTGCCTCTGCCTCCTGAGTGCTGGGATTAAAGGTATGCACCACCACCACCCAGCTATTCCTTATAATCTATTTCTTATGTGCATTTGTGCTTTGCCCACGTGTGTCTCTGTAAAGGTGTTGTGTCCCCTGGAACTGCAGTTACAGCTGTGAGCTGCTATGTGGTGCTGGGAATTGAACCCGGGTCCTCTGAAAGAGCAGCCAGTGCTCCTAACTGCTAACCGCTGAGCCCTCTCTCCAGCCCCCCTCCCCCTCCAACCCCCCAATGTTTATTCTTAAAAGTTTGTTTTTGGTTTTGTGTTTTGTTTTATTTTGAGACAGTCTCTTTATGTAGCCCTGGCAGGGTTGGAACTCACGGTGTAGACCACTCTGCCTTGAAATCGCAGAGATTACCTTCCTGTTTCTGTCTCCCGGCCTGAGTCAACACTCCCAGCTTTTTTTTTTTTTTTTTTAAATCAATTCTGGCCCAGTAAATAATTTTGTCCCGGTGCCTCCCTATTTCCTCAAGGACACTGGGGAAGATCCTGACTTGGCCCTCAGGAAACAAATATGAAAAGGAAGGCCCTGAAGTGCAATCATTCGTTCTGCAGACGGAACGAGGAGTTAGTTTACCTCTGCCCTTACTGGATACCGGCAGGGTAGCCCTAGATGGAGGCTGGGAATGGCGCGTCCCCAGCCACTGCCTCGGCAAAAAAACGTATTCTGATGGAATCAACCCAAACACGGGAACAGATGACTGGCAGGTTGGAACACCTTCCCTCTCAGCCTATTGGACAAATCTGAGTTGGCCACGCCCCCAGGCCGGGTGCGGCAGGCCTGGCTTGGGATTCCCTCAGGGGTAAAGTGTCGCACGTCCTTGGGCAGAAAGGGGAGGTGACTGGAGCAGCAGAGGACGCAAAATGAGAGCCTTGCGGGTGAGGCCCCAAGGGCTGTGTCGGGGTGGAGGGGAACCCCACAACCCAGATGCCTACCCTAAACTTGCCAGGATCTGGAGTCTTGGAACACATGCACCCTTCGGAGTTGGGACTCCCCGACGGCCTGAGTTTCCAAGACAGTACCTCTAACCTGGTCCAGAACCCTGGGTTTAAACCACCCTTTGCCCGAATTCCACCTTAACGTTCCTGGGAGCCCTAATAACAACTCAGGGTGTCTTGGGCAGCCTGGAAACTCTCATGGAACTTCCAAGTCAGTCTTGACGTCCCTGGAACCCGATTTTCTCAAATTAATTAATCCAGCGACCCTCCCTCAATTCCCCACGCACCTGTTTCATATTCCCAGCACAGGAGTCTCCTGGGACCCTCTCGGCAGCCTGCTGACCTCCAGGATGTACTCTCTAGGCATATCCCTACCCTTACTCCCTCCTTTCTGCTTCTGGTGTTTTGTTTTGTTTGTTTGTTTGTTTGTTTTTTGACACAGGGTCTCATCTAGCCCAGGCTGCAGCTGAATATGTCTTTGAACTTCTAATCCTCCTGCCTCCACCTCCAAGTGTGATAACACATGTATGACACTTCCTCATTTTTTA